TTTTTTTTAAGTTAGGTGCACAATTAACAAAGTTAAGTCTGGTAAAGTAGGTTCTTGTATTTTGGGCCCCTATTGGCGATTTAGGCTGAATAGGTTCTTAATTAAGTTCTTTATTGTAAATTGGGGTAGGCAGGCTTACCCGACTCCGTGGTGTGTCCAGTTTTCTCTACACTTGTTGCAAATGTTAATAGGCCCACACGACTCCACAGTAGGTTCCTGAGTGACTATGGAGAGATTGAGGCAGAATGGATTGGTGCCCATTACAACGGAGGACAGGGTTAATGACTTGAAATCCGAGTGGATTACAGACTACCATTTCAAATGTCAGAAAAAAACCAGATTTAACTTTGTTAATGTGCACCTGACTGAAAAGGCAAAATTTTAGACTGTTACACCGCAAGAATGGATACAATACATTGTAAACCTCTTTTATCCAAAGTCCATGAAGATAATAAAAACTTGACATTAACTTGTTTTTGTTGTAGGGATTAGTACTTTCATTTGCAATTACAGTTTGCTACACTATGTTGTTGTTATACTCAAATTTGCAATCTGAAAGTTTCACTCCTCGGTTAAAATGTTTTTCATGATATAACTGTAACTCAAAATATAAGAACCTGCTTGATCTTGCTTGACTAAATGTAGGTTCTTGTATTTTAGGGTATGAAGGAGGCATTTCTGCCAGGATGTTTTTAATCCACTAAGTTGTTCTACGCGGGTTTAAACTGTAGTCTACCGTTTCTTTTTCAATTGTTACTTGAAAAGCCAGTTACAGCGCTCTACCGTCACCTATGAGACCACTCGCCGCTGTCTTTTTAGTCTGCGAGCAGCCGGGCCGTGTTTCCATCTCTCGTGCGCCATTGGCAGCCGCTTATGGTACAAGTTATTGAAATTCCTGTATTTATACGTAAGAAGAAGTGTTGTGTACAAATTAAATACTGAGTTAACGGCCACTCAACTTCACAGTTTATATGTGCAAAAATTACTTAAAGTGAAAGAGCTGTAACGCCGCTACAGAGAGGGAAAATAGTCATCGAATACTGTTAATCGGTTACTTTGTTGTTGTTTCCGAGGGCGGAAATGTCATCGGCAAAAGGTAAATGGCATTTAAAAAAAAAAAAGAAAAAATAGCTAAAATTTTGCGAATCTTCTGGAAATAATGTAAGTGATACACGAAATATTTCAAAGTAAAGGAACATCAGCGGAATAAAGCCACATACATAAGGTTACAATACATTGCATTTTAAATACCTCTTCAAACGGGCCAAAAATCGGAAATAGGAAGAGATCAGCTAAAAGCTGGTTTCTAAACCGCAAACATATTTCATTATTGCTGATTATAGTACACATCAAAACACTCGACTGGTTTCATTCGTTTTTACGACAGGCCACTTGTGATAATCGGTATGGTATCACAAAAGACAATAATGATTCGCACCGATAACACACAGACTTAGGGCAATCACTTTAGAAATCGGAGAACCGCCTCTGTTTATTATTTTTCGATACTACGCGGATTTTTGAGCAGATGAATGTGCAATTTCAAATTCTGGCTACACGAAGAGAAGAACCTAAGGCATTTTTAATTGTTTTTAATGAGATTAATCGGCTGAAAAATGGAACAGATTGACCTCGATGATAGATTGTATTATAGTCATCCGCTGACAAGGTTAAGGGTTCGAGATGTAAACAAACTTAGTAAAGAATGTGGTTTGGCGTAAGATCGCATGTTGTCACTTGCATTGATCTTGAACCGAAATAACAATTGGTGTGCCGAAAAGAAGAAAAGAAAAACGCTAGTGACGTCTGGCGATTGGATGTTAACCCAAGATGCTACCTTACTATGGAAAACCATCAAATTTGGAAACTTACCCGACATCACCGAAGATCTACCGTAGAGGATTGGCGAAAACGTTCGTGCGTCGCGCACAGAGGGCCGACCCAGAGCGACAACTTAATCCCTCGGAAGATCCTGGCGGTATCTCTTGCGAGACTCTATCCCGCAGGGAAAAAAAGATACGAGTCAATGTCTGTGGAAAACCATACGTAATCACTGTTCAACAACTGCTAAGATTTCCTGCAAGTTTGCTTGCAGACCCAGAAAAAAGAGCACCTTTTCACGATGAAGAGAACCACGAATTCTTTTTTGACAGAAATCGAACGACATTTGAAAGCATCTTTTACTTTTACGTAACAAATGGAATACTAGTTTTTCCGAGTAAAACATTCTCGCTGCAGCTTTTGGCAGACGATTTTTATTTCTTTGGCCTGTACGAGTATTTGAGCTCGGAAGAAAGGCGACACAGTTTGCCAACTCCAAGTGCATTTTTTCCAAGGAAAGTGATAGCCCCAAAATCAGTTTGTCAAAAAAAGTTTTGGGAAATTTGCGAGTCTCCAGATTCAAGCTTCGTCGCACGAATCACAACGTTGTTTTCGCTGATGGTAATTTTGCTCGCCATTGCTATTTTGTGCATTGAAAGTCTTCCAAGCGTACGAAACTCGAATCTTGTTGAGGAAGTCATAGATAGTGGAGTGCACCTTAACATCAGTACAAACCAAAACAATGCAATAGTGACCCACGATAGCAATTCCTTCACAGTGAAACATTTCACCTCAAGAGCTGAGGAATTTTGCATCGCCTGGTTCACTCTGGAATTAATTATTCGTTTTCTTGTTTCGCCAGAAAAGCGAAGATTCCTGCTCAAATTTCTAAACATCGTGGACATAGCCGCTATTTTACCATTCTACATTTATTTGGTCGTGTCCGAAAAGTCAAAAGCACCCCCTGTTTATCTGATCAAGATCTTTCATCTTTCAAAAATATTTCAAGTGCTTAAAGTCTCTCGCTACGCTTCAACGATGATAGTGCTTAAAAAAACTGTTACCGCATGTCTATCAGATCTGTGGACGATGGTTTCTTTAACTCTTACAGGAACCATTTTATTTGGGATTCTTGTATATTACTGCGAAACTTGGGACCAAGAAACGGAATTTCGAAGTATTCCTCACTCGTTCTGGTGGGCTGTTGTGACAATTACTACTGTTGGGTATGGTGATATGGTTCCAAACACTCTTGGTAAGTGTAAAATTCATTGTCTCTTTATCAAGGTACTACACAATTTTCATTTTTCCAAAGTTGTGGAACATAATCTTTTTGACGTCGAGATAAGAACCCATAGAATCTCATGACGGCTCCAAGCCTTTGAACAAATCAAAAAGCCGTCCACTGCACGTGTGACTCGTGCGACAAGCGCACGATTGCAAGCTATGACATCACTAGCTTACAATTGATTGGCTGACGCAACGGATAGTGAAATATAGATGGCAAACTGTTAGCCGCTTATCATTCATTTAACTCTTAAAGCGCAAATGACTTTCTTATCACGATTTCATGATCTTTCTAGAAAAAAATTCGTGCAGACGGCCGTGTATGTCTCACACGATGTAAGAAACATGTGTTTTGTGCCGTATACTCTGCAGTATCTAAGCAACTGCGAAACTGCTCCTCACCTAACTCAATACTAATCCTAACTAGTTATCGGTTGCTGGGTTGGGGGAAAGGGTAGGTGTGCATTTGCCCAGATACTGACATCAATTGAAAAAAATGAATGTCAGGAAAAGGTGCACATTCCGTGCTTGAAAGAATTATATTTTCTACTTTTATCTGCAGGTGGGAAGATTCTGGGTGGACTGTGCACCATCTCAGGTGTTATATTCATAACACCCCTCCTGCCCATCATTTACAATAAGTTTGTCCGGTTTCAAAAACTGGAAGACAGCAAGCCGTTATGTCAATGTCGATAAAGTGAACTGGTCACTAAATTGAATGCAATGCACGTTGTGATCACCTGATGACATGATAACAATTTACCTCACACTTTCTCGTAAGTTCCTCGTCTAGAGCTTCTATTTCTGACGGGCCCTTTACTCCTCTTAAACCGACGTTACTCCTCTGGGCCCTTTGCCAGCCTCTGCTCAGAAAATGAGCCAGAATCGGGAGGAAAGAAGACAGGATCCGAGAAAACGGCGCAAATTTAGCCTACATTCCCTCTTGGGGTTCCATACTGGTTTAATCTTAATTCTAATTGTATGAGAATAGTACTGATGGCTCCAAACGGTAGATAGCTGTGAACAACAGGAGTAAATAAAGAAATTTATTCAGCTCGTAGTCTATAATTAATCAATTCTACAAAAAATCAATACTTTACACTGAGTGATCAATACAATCTTTACAACAAAATGCAGTTCCACTAAATACGAGGTAGCTTTGCAGGTTCTTAAAACAAAGGGTAAAAAAAAAAGGCAAGAGAAGATGCAATTTAATTTAAGAGTAATTTCTCACAAACTCAAAAAAATTTGGGTTCATCATTCACACCTTGGCGTTTTTTATGTTTACCATAGAAATTTTCCCTTTCCCCAAAAACATTAATACGACTAGAGGTATCAATTTTCCGCAATGCCAAGTCAATAACTAACTAACTAACAAGAGGGTTAACAAAATAAATACGAAATTTTCATTTAAATATCTATTTGTATCATCTGAAAAATCATCTCATAAAATAGAAAATGTACAACAAATAGGAAACGATGAAAAAAAATAAATATCATAATAAAACGATGCTGTTATTCGAGAATAATTACTTCATTTTGAAATGAATACGCACACTATAAATCTTCATGCGTTTTTACACAAACGAAATGTTGTTAGCTTAACTGAGATAATTCTTATGTCAACTGTAATTCTTCACATTTTCTCGCTCATAAAACTTAACGGACGAATTTACAACGAAAGTATGTACATGGTCGTCGATGTTTCCTTAAAGTGGGAAAAATCGTTGTAAAAAATTTTGTGGTCGTATTTTCAGACGCAAAATGTGACGCTATTTAGGAACCAGTCATTATTTTCGTCTTAGAGCTGGGTGGGGGGGGGGGGGGGGGGGGGGGGGGGGGGAGATTCAATGGTTTTCAGGGGACCGGAGGGAGGATCAGTCGGCGACTATAGCAAGTTTAATGCTTGTGGGATAGGATCATTAAACTACCACAGAGCCTAAGGGGGGTTCAGGTAAATTTTGTTTTGACACAACCAAAATCCTCCAGCCCTTCCCCTTCGGAGATAAATAATGACCGATCCCTATGATCATAAAACGACCAAGAAAAGTTTGCGTTTTTGAAGTCGTTTCTCAAAACGGTAGTTTTTTTCACTCGCAGGTTACGACTCGTTGTATTTTTGCATCCAGAGCCGAAAGAGTTTCTTGGTCTTGTACATTTGCCATCCTTTGAGCAAGCGACGGCGCACGAGCGTGAGCTGGTACCAAGCCATAAAAACCTATTAGGTGAAAAACAGTACATAAGTGACCTGCTTTTCTACTTGAAGCAAAAACATTACGAACATGGTAGACATTCTTAGGTACTTTAAATGAGATGTTATTATGTTAAGGAATAATTTCTATTTTTCTTAAGCTCCTGAATCTCGAACTTGGACCGAGTCTTGACAATCTATTGCTGTTATTCTAGCCAGGATATCTCGGCTCCTAAGATATCTGGAACCCCCGGAAAGCTCTTCATACGTCTAGTATCTGTTGCGCCCCCCTACCCCCACCCCGTATCTTGGGTCCCTCGACGGGCATTTCGAACTTCCCTGTATTCTAAATTCTCGACATCTCGGTCGCCCGGTTATCCCTAGCCCCCTGGAAGCACAATTTTTTCTCTTTCTCTTTCCCATTTACAAATCAAGTTCCCCACCTCTTTTGAAACCTCAGTACCAATACGAATACCAACACCAATAATTTTCTCTTAGCCCTATGAGATTGAAGATGACGCCTCCTCTTACCTCAGATAGCTGCTTTTTGTCTTCATGCTTCATCATCATTTCCGACACTCTTTTCCTTATCAACTGGTGACGCCATTTCGTCCAAAACTTTTCAAATACACGGCGATCAACCTAAAAATAAATAAATAAATAAAAATGATCAGATACTGAAAAACGACATGAATAGTATGCACTCTCCAGAGACGAACGAAAATATTGGAATTCAAGTTGTTCCTTCTTGCGTCTCCTAAGATTAAAGGTCTTCAGTGACAACTAGTACAATCCAAGTATGCGTCCCCTCAACTCTGCGACGCTTAGTGCAATACAGTTTCTGAGTCTCACCATTTCAGTGGCGATCGAGTTCAAGTCAATTCTCTTCTTCCACATCATGAAGTGCTTCGCTACAATGCGTTCTTCCTTCTTTCTGCTGTGTATCTCAAGTTTTGTGTCATGAAACCAGGCGCGGAAACACATTTTGCTGAAAGGAACAAATGACAGTGTGAGAAATGAATCAGCCTTTGTTCACAGACAAATGATCCAACATGCGAAACGAAGGGAAACGCAAATTTTCCACCTATTACCGCAAACTAAGGCTTTTTGGAACACCCGGGAACCGTACGTCAGTTTACGTCACCCAGTAGAGATGGAGGTAACTCAGAGCGTTAGGTTGCAATCTTGGTAAAAAGACACGCGTGTCCTTTCTGAATAGAATACACAAGTCCAGCGAATGTTAAGGTATAGAGAAACTTGTGAATATTGACCAAGAACACTAAACAATAGCCGCGGCCAGGGCTCAAGTCTGTACACCTGACCTTATGGAATAAACCCAACTATCGCAGACTCCCTCTTGGACAAGAAAGATGGACCTTGGACCTCTCCCGCTAAGGAGAGCTGACCTGTTTTTTCGTTTGATTATAGTTATTACCTCAACCTTTTCTGGTAATGTTCGTCAGCGATTTCCTCTTGTTGCTGCAACGAAATAAATTCACATGATTTGGAAGCCGATTTGGAACCAAATGTGACGCTGTTTAAAGTAACTCTAATCGAAAACCACGTGAAAGGCTGATGTTGTAAACGCCTCATATTTTCACTCTAAACGTACTTAACTAACCAAGTGCGGGGTGCGAAATGTACGTTGTGACTGATAAATGGGGAAAACGAACATCCGTAACTTAAAAAACCGACTGAGAAAACAAGATTAGTAAAATATTTATTTTTTCACCACTATCACCCGACGGGTAGATTGAACAATCAGAAGGCGAAAACAATGCTGCCGAAAATGTAGGGTTTCAGTGTAGAATTACCTTAGCTTTTTCTTTTTCTGCCTGCTTCAGTTCTGTCTTTGCCTTCCAGTCGGCAAAAAACTGTACCAAATAAAATACAGAAAAAGAACTGTGGTCAGTGCAATTGGAACAAAAGACGATTCTATCAGTAGGTCAGGTAAGGTAATATAACGGGACATCACAATTAACAACGCATCTCGACTGAACGTCGAAGACCAAAGTTATCACAACAGCCAATCAGAGCGAAGGAAAATGTTACAAGGAGCCAATGAGAACTCAGAGTGAAAACAAGCAAACTGCCCAAAGCGCGGGAAAACGCGGGTGACCAAGTCGTGATTGTTTTTAGTTTTGCATTTGATTGGTTGAGAGGGTGTCACGAGTTTTCTGGACCAATCACAGGGCGAAGTAAAGCAAAACCACTGCAATTCGACATTGACAGCTGAAGGTTGCTGTATAGACTGTAACAAATCCATACCTTAGAAGTGACTGTCTTGTTACAATGTTTCTCTGCGCGGCTCTTCAGTGTAAATTTTTTCCATTCCTGCATACAGCCCCGTTTCACTCGTCTGTTGTGATGAATCATCTGTCCGTCTGTCAGCTCCTTGTGCTTGCGGGCGACTTTAAGCGCCTCGTGCCAATCATAGAACAGGCGAGAAACCTGGAAAAAGTTTAATAACAGAGAAAAATAATATAATTGTGCTGCAAAAGGCCTACCCTTCTTTAGAGGAATTTGGAAATAGCGTTTTCATGCTGGAAGCGGAGAAAACAAGTTTCTGGCGTTTTCGAAAAGCTTCCCATTCACAATAAAAGACGGGGTCAACGTTTCCAAATTAATACATGAAGTAGAGCGTTTACCAAAACTAAGCTTGTAGACAGTTTATGCGGATGAGTGTCAACGGTTGGTCTACTTGTAGGAATGAAGTTTCGTTTTCAAATTTCTTCGCCTCGGTGAATACAAGGCTTCAGTTCAAGTGCCCACAAAGGTTACTGTCGCACTTATCCCAAGAACGTTTTTCTTCCGATCGTATTTGCTGTTCTTCCACAACAGGACAAAATTAGGCAACATCTCGGTTGAAACTGAACTAACTATTATTGGCTAGGAAATTGTTTACTACCCATAATCAGTTTCAGGATGTTTTTGAGAACTCTTGCGGCGTCAACGCAAAGTTGTATTTTTTTTTCAGAAAGAAAGAGGCGCTTCGGAAATCGTCGTAACAAACCTTTTTATTCATTGTCTGGTCTCGAAAAGAATTAATTTTCTTCCGTTCATTTATCTTCTTTCTTGAAAATTGGTGCCATTCTGCCAGTGATCTGCAAATCAAACACACAATTTGTTTAATTAAAGCGTTGTTCAACAGTTGAAGCGTGTTGTACAACATGATGCCTTACGCATCGCTAACATTTGAAGTTCGTTCGTTATTCTATCGCCTCGGACTGAAAATTGTCTGTTTTGTCTTTGGACCAAGTTTGAATCTAGGTACGTGAGTGGAGTAGCAGTAAAAACGCAATTTTTAGTCGTCACAAACCTCTTCAATACTGTGCGGTTGTGCAAATCCTTTGCTTGTTGCATCTGCCGCGTTTTTTCCGTCCACTGCACAAAGTATAAATGTACCAAACGTCGGCCGTGTTTTGTCTGAAGATCGTTCGCCATCTCCGCTTGTTTCTTCACCTCTGTGAACGGAAAACTCGCAATCAGTACAGCGGCTAAAAAAAGTAATTTTCAACTGAATGTCGCAAAACGAAAACCAAAGTAAAGAAAAATTTAAAACAGAAACCAGCCAAAATTCATGATAAAACTAGCAAACTGCCCGAAGGACAGAAATACGTGAGAAATCAAGTCACTATTGTTTTTAAAACAGTTTTAATTGAGTGTCGAAAAATAAAAACCAGTATAGTCCCAACGACTACTAACATCATGATTACCCAATGATAAACTCAAAGTAAAAACAGGCAACCTGCTTAAAGCGCGGGAAAACGCAAGTGACCATGTTGGGATTAATTTTAGTTTTCCATTTGATTGGATGAAATGGTGGCGCCAGTTTTATGGACCAATCACAGAGCGAAGTAAAGCAAAACAAAAGCAAACTTGGATTACTTGCGACACTCGATTGGTTGAGAGAGAAGGCGCGCGTTTTCTTGACCAATCACAGCAGTGAAATAAGAAAGACGAAATCACAGAAAACGTGCGACACTTAACAAAAAATTGCTTTAGGATGACCAATAAACACCGTTTACTCACTAATCGTCCATTGTTTCCAGTGTCGACCAGCTTCTCGGGTTTTTCTGATAAGCATTTTCTGCAAGTTGTAAGGTCAAAAAGACATATCAGCAACTCTCTCTCGTACATTGAGACCGAGAAAAACTGCCATTGCAAATGTGCTTTGGTATCAGTGACAAAGCACAGGTCGAACGATCTCTCTCTCTGGACAGTGAGCCATGTTTTCCACATAATCTCTCACCCTTCAACCACAACTTTCAGATATGTAATTTTACATCCAGCAAAGCTCCCAAAGAAAAAGCGAGACGACAAAAAAACTTTCCCGCTCCAATCTTTTTCTTCTGCTTTCCTTACACATTTGAGACATTTACCTCTTGAAGTTTTTCAGAGCCCTTCTTGGTGTACAACGCAAGCCACCATCTTGTGAAACACTGACGGAAAAAAGAAAGGCATAACTGTGATTAAAAACACTTCTATTTAAAAATATCATTAAAAAAAATAACAACATTTGGTATTTAATGTTTTAAACCTCAGTTTACAGTACTGTGTTTGAGCGATGTACGGCTAAGGCCATAAACATTTTACAAAATTCAATATTAATTCCACAATTTTTCCAAATCACTATTTTCATTTTCTAAGCTGAAGGTCAAGATTAAGATTACACGACCAGCTGTAAACCGGCAGATGTCGAGGATTTAACTCTCGAACTTCCAAAAATGATGAATATGTAACTTCTCCCTATAATATCTATACATTAAACACCTAACAGGTAATGAGAGTACTCAAACTTATCAGGCAGAGGTTGTTATCTTGATCTAACGCCAAATTATTATAACTAATTTAGAAGAAAATGTGTAGCAGTTTTAGGGCAGAACAAACAATCAGATCTTGGGAAAAATTTCCAACCGCATCAATAAACTGCTTCGACATAGGTACTTTACGTAAATTGATTCACTCAGTCATTAAGCAACCGTTAACACTTATAACTAATTCCAAAATAAGTTCATTTTGTTCAAAACTTAAGCTTTTCCTTATTTTGTATAGTTTTCTAAGCCTTTGAAATTAGTGTCGCATTATTGTGGATGAACTAAGCCACATTTCAACTTTGTAAACTGACCTTGTGTACGATTTTTTTCTCGTAAGATTTTTCCGCTTTACACCGCAGCATGAATTTCACCCACTTTACAAGACAATAGTGAAGTAACTCTGACTCTTTTCTCTGAAGATGCTCCTCTAAGACCTCCAGGTTTCTCATATTGCGTTGGAATCTTTCTCTCCAAGTCTTGAAGGACTTAGATACCTAGAAGCGAAAAATAAAATGACGAAAATAAATTAATAAAAAAAAAGTCTTTACATTTGAACTTGAGGTCGCGAAAACTGTCGTACTTTCTTACACTTATGGTACACATAAATTTATCTTCTCGCAGTCAAAATCCAATAAAATGCTTTGTTTTCATCGCAATTAAACCTTCATTGATAAGTCGTTCGATAATAAAGTGCTAATCACTGAGTCCTAACAACACTAAGGAACTAATACAACAGAATAATGCGTGAAAAACGATAATTGAATAACAGTTTTTGGTTGTAAAAAATAAAGTTTAATCACGATGAAATAGCAACGTTTTTCCCGCAAGTGAAACCTTCCGAGCGGTATTCACGAGTCCGAATATAACTGACCACGAAGAAACTTCGGAAGGTACTCGTTACCTCCGAAGCAGCTATTAAGATCGACGAGAAATTATCAAATGCATTCGCGATTATCTCAGCACGGTGTTACACTTACCAATTCTTCTTCCTTGTTTTGCAGTATTTCCTGTAAGATTTTTCGTTTCTCGACTCGTGATTGCACATACTGATGCAATCCGAGCAAAGTTCTATTGAAAGAAAAGAATCACATTCTTTAGCAAAAATACATTCAACTCCATCTGCTCAACACAAGTAAAGGAAATCTTTCATGCTCTCTCAACTCCAAATTCCCATCAGTCAGCTTTAAGGTAAAGTCTGTTCTCGTAACAACTGGCCCATCCAACCGGAGCTTATTCCGGTTCCCTTAGGATGAAAAGACAAGGAGAATTACGTTGCAAGGTTAGATGGATCTTTCCTGCAACAAAATCAGTTTCACTTTGAAAACTGAATGAGAAGCACTATTCCTCACGCGATGCTAAGCATTAAGCTACCGCGTCTTCCACTAAATTCCCATCAGTACCTTCTGATCATCTTTCCACTCGCATGACTCTTTGCTTTTTGTACTTTATGAGCTTCCTGCACCCAGTTATCAAACATACGCCGTAACAACTTCTTCTCCGACCCTTCGGCGATGTGCATGGCTCTGTTGTTCAATACTTTAGCTTCTGTAAGAAAAGAAAAAAGAAAGCGACTAAAGCTTTGCCCACACGTAACCTATATGTTTTAAAATGCAGATTTGTTGACGACTTTAGCTGGCAGGCACGTTAAGGATCATTTTCGTAAACAGCTTCTAAAGTGGGTAAGCTTGAAAAAGCGTCAAGTGAAGTTTGCATGTCATGTATCATGTGTGATGTGTGATAAATTTTGTGTGATTTGTGATAAGTTTTGTGTGATTTGTGATAAGTTTTGTGTGATGTGTGATGAGTTTTGTGTGTGTATGGTGGCTTTGCGTTTTGTAGAATGTGTCATTTTCGTAAACAGCTTATAAAGTGGTTCAGCTTGGAAAAGCATAGTTTATTCTTTGACAAAGAGACGATAAACCTAACATACCGAATGATTCTCACACTTATTGTTCTAAACAAAAAACTACCTGGAGTTAAATTTATCCGAATATGGTGTACTTTTAGCGGGGCTGTGCTCTAGTAGAGCCTGGCTACTACGGGAGACAAACGTTAGTCTTTGGGCGGAAAGTTTACCAGTAACCCAATTATATTTTTCTTGTTCGCGTCCAAACTGTCGAGCGGTGGCCATCATTGAATACATTTACATACAAACATTTCCCCGTACCTTCTGTAATACTTTTCCAACTGTGGATAAGACGGCGTGTCTATAAAAGAAAAAATAAAATTACAGCCTAATAAAAGTGTTTATATTTGAAAAGAATGGGAAAGTTCTTGTTTGGCACTTGTAAAAACTTCAATTGCAACACATTACAATCACTCTGACGAAAGGCTAACGCTCTGACTAAATATCAGCTTTAGAAACTCTTTACGGTGGGCAATTTACATTATAACTCTGTTGATGAAACCAAGTTGTTGAATATCCCCTACCAATGTAGCAATTATTTAATTAGGAACTTACCCCTTTATTCATTTATGTTTATTTCTTCCACACTACGAAATTTCTGTGCCATATTTTGTTCAAAATTTAAGCAGAATTGTTATCAGTTAAATCATTTACATCCATTCAATGCGATTCAATGCTCTTTTTCGTCTTGCCGCTGTTATGTAGCTTCACTGATCTGACCGCCGTTGGCTTCTCAGGAAATACAACTTAACACTCCTTTTTTATCCATTTTTAGTTACTTTCAGAGCCATGAAAAATACAAAGAACGTAACTCACGGTTTTTCGGGACGTGTATTCGTCGTACCAACACAGGAACATCTGAGAGATAATGTGCATACAAAAGTTCACCAACACGAGAGTTGAAATCGAAATTCTGAGAAAAAAGTAATGTAAAACATGCGCCACAAACGGTGTAACGCGAGGGAATAATTTTAAGCTTCTCAATGTAAGGAAGCAACTCAGAACAACTTGACTTTTCGTTCCCGACGATTCCGAAAAATAACGTTAAAACGAAGATTTAAACATGGAGAAATTTTGGGCAAAACATGCCATGGGAAAGTTGTGTTTTAAACATAAAAGAGAAGCCTTAAAAGAATTATTTAACCACCTACCAAGCACTCTAAGGAGTGAATCGCAATTCTAACCCGAGGCAGCTAAATATACAGGCAGCTAATGACGATGATTAAATCAAATTGTGTTGCGTCAAAATTAATTATAACACTAACTTAAGCTACTCCAAATAAATCATTTATCGACAGTCTAGCCACGGGTAACAAAAAAAAAATCCGTCAATTTGAAGCTTAATAAACGATAGCTGTGACAGAAAGAAAAAGAGAGCGAAATTTACTGCCAAAGTGTAACAGAGAGAAGCAGTTTGTATTCAGCTTGGACGAACGAGAGTAAACAAATTTAGGAGGATTAATTAAATTTTCTGGACGCGTGAAATAATTCTTATTAAAACTAGCAAAAGTCACTCTCACTAATTAATTACGATGCACAAGATAAATTTCATGTTTGACTTTTCGCTTTCAAATCATTATTACTGAGTGTTTCTCGCTGATTAAAACTCGCGGAATATTCACTTTTTGAAGTAAATTAATTTGGTTAAAAAAAAAAAAAAACTTGTGAAAACGTCAAAATTACGCAAATCCTGGAGCTGAAAAATTATAACTTTCAAAACATAAAAGATTTTAGAGACAAAGTTATTTGCTTACGACAGTGGTATAGGGAGGCACTTTGGTACACACAGTCAGACAAGAGTATTTTGAACCACGTGGTACATATGGCCGGATTGGCATCCAAGATGATTGGTTCATTAGTACCACGTGGTTTAAAATATTCTTCCCCTATTGTCTGTGCTCCACCGTGCCCTCGTATACTTCAATCGATGTGGGTTTTTGAAAGGCCGGTGGACATCTATATCGCTTTTCAAGCTACCGTTCATACCTGTTTTTGCAACGCCATGATGTAGAACTTGTCTGCTCGGATTTCCAGCGTGTAATTCCTCCAATCCTCGAAACATTCCCGAAGTGCATTGTGATCACGCTGTTGATTGTGCGCCCGCGATAACTCTGAGTGGGCCAGAAGTTGTTGCCAGAAACGGAAGCTTCGAGCAAGCTGAGAAACCATGGGAAATAACATAGAATGTCAGAATTCAAAGAGTTACTCAGCCTGTCGACTGATCAATCAGTTGGCGAGTCAGTCAGTTGGTCAGTCAAAATGTCAGAGTCAATCATTCATTACGCTACTTCGAAAACACCATAGCACAATCACGCAAGCTTGGCCTTATATAGGCATAGCGATTCAAATCCCAGTTGTCAGAGTGGTACATCAGAATTCGGCGTACAAACATGCCTAAAAGCTACATGCTAGCATTCCGTACGGCTGATAAATCCTGAAAAGAATCAGGAATACTAGCGATAGGGAATGGGAAGTAAGTCATTGAAATTTTAACTCGCAGAACCTAGTCGGTCGATCAGTCAGTACGTCAATCAGTCAATCAGTCTGTCCGTAGGTCAGTCGGTCAGTCAGTTAGTCATTCAGTCAGGCAGAGGGTCGACTGGATTGGTCAATCAGTCAGTTGGTCGGAAACCAGCCAGCCTGCCAGACATTCCGTCAAATAACCAATCAATAATTCACTGATTCGATCAATAGATTTATCAATCAATCAGTTATATCTGGCAGTCACTCATTCAAAGTGAGCGTAATCTTGTGACACAAAGCAAACTGATCTTTTCTAGGAATAGCGTCATTTACCAAGTTTGCGCCAACGTTTTTCTTGAACTCTTGCATCGCTCGTTTGTTTCTTGTCCTTTCCAGAGCCACATCCCTCCATCCGACAAACACACTGTAAATACAACCGCAAACCATCAGTACTAACTTGAGGAAATTACCCTACAGCTGTTTAGGATAAGTTTAGAATTACCTTCTGACTAAAACGGCTTAATAAAAAAACACATCTACGTTTAACTTAATATTAACAAATGCTTTACTGTAATTGATGACAGTGCTTTAAGAAACATGATATTTCACTAAAGCCAGCCCTTGAATACACGCAGTATCAGAAATTCTAAAAATTTGACAAACGCCAAGCGTTTTATCAAGAAAATACAGTAATTTTTGCCTACCATTTCAATATATGTAATTCGTGTGTTCTCTTGGCTATCTGAAGCTGTTGAGCGCCTGTCAACCAGTTGATAAAAATCTCTCTTGTGATTTTCAATTCCACAGAGCGACGAAAAAGACGAGATTGTTTCCTCCGCGTGTTCATACCTAACAAGCAGCAAAAAGAAAAGAAATTAAACTGCCCTACGTGCGTTTATCAGAGTAACGAATTAGTAACACACAGTTTTAAATCTCTTCAGATTCTGCAACAGACTCACGAGCTGTTTAAACTGTAGAGTTTATAAGTTCGATTCTATAGCCCGTCAGTATCCGATCGACAATCGAAAGGGTTTTTAAAGCACTTGAGACCCAAAGAAGGTACCTACCATTCGCCCAGTTGTGCCATACTCGAAGAATTTCTAACAGCCGATCAGCTTCCTTAATCTGCGAGTACAAAACATTAAGATTACGTCAACATTTGTCATGTTTCTGTCTTTCTTGCATAGGCATTCCGTTATTTATTCAAATCATTAAAACCAAGAAATGCGTTGTTGCACTGACCTCGATAAACTCGTCAACAAGACTGATGGCCTGGAATCGGGCCTGCCACTCCCTGAATGCCTGCAAGAGAGAACTGGTGGTTACAGATGGCGTGAAGAACAGGCTGAATAATTGTGATTCCTACGACTGAACTTATCTCTTGCCGTAACGCAGTAGATGGACGTGGTTTCCTCAAATTCGAACTCAAGTGTCAAATCAAACATCTACCAATAGTATTAACACATAATGCAACGTATCACACATCACATTTAACGCTTGAAGCATCGCAAATAAGACATCATACATTTAACAGCAAAACGATTAAAAAATCCTGCATCACAAATCACTCAACAGATTACACATCACATACAACGCATCACACAACACATTTATGACATGTCAAACATTTCACAGCACACCCATTACAAATCATGGATCACGCATAAAACAGCACATCGCACATCACAAATTACACATCACACTGAAGCACTCTTTTTACCATGGTCAAGAGCCTTCTTTCTCCAAACAGTACCACTTTCTTCCTATTAGAAACACGAGTAGAGGCAAGGACATGCCAAGCCTTAAAACACCTGTAAGAAAAAAAGAGACAGTTAACACTCATGCCACCACTTTCAGAAAGTACTAGCTTCTATAAACTTTTCCCATTATAGAAAGGTTCAGCTTACTTTGGTAGAAGTCTGTCTGTGTATAGTCGCATGGCGTCTTGACTCTTTCTTGTCATCTGCACCCAATAAGTGAAAGTCTGCCGCACAAATCTGTCGTTCTGCTTCTTCTGAATGACCTGAGTGAAGCCTTTGTCTTTCTCGGTCACTATAAATGAAGAAGAAAGGGAAAGACTTTGTAAGATATTTGTCCCACGCCCTAAACAAAGGTTTCAACATCTTCATCTCTTTGTTCGACATTGCTGATGCAAGCAATATGTAGCAACACAGTGGTCAAACAGCTGAGCATAAGGGAACTTGGTGATGTGCTTTCAGGCTGTCAGGACCAAGCTGTCTCACACGAGTTACAAACAACCACAGAAACTAGTAAGTCACAGTGTTTTAAACGCATATAACTTTTTTGGCAAAGCTCAGAACAGAATGGTAAATCAACAGGATATTCTTTTTATCATCACCTTAAGAAATAAATAGAAAACACTTTAGAGAATGTGCAAACTGATGTTAAGTGTGTAAGGAGGTTAACGATCTGCAAAACCTGGAACTCTGCTCAGCACTTACCAATAGCCTTCTTCTGCCACTGTCCGATTAGCTCTTGTAGCTTCTTCTTAGCGGAGCACTAAAATAAATAAAATAATGATGATGATGATGATGATTATAATGATAATGATAATGATGATGATGATGATGATAATGATGATGATGATGATGATGATGATGATGATGATGATGATGATGATGATGATAATGATAATGATAATAAACAACAACACAGAAGAGCAAGGTCTTTTAAACGTCATAGCAAATCGCCTTTCATTAAGATAATTTCTTGGCTAATTCTTTGCTACAACGGACAAATAACAACGGGGCACGAATGAACATGGAACGAAGATGGTTAACCCTTCAAGAAGAAATCAAGATGCAACATCTCCATGCAATTCCAGTGTGTTATCTCGAAAACAGATCATGAGAACAAACAAGCTCATCGGTTTAAGGGAGTTACCTTGAAATGAGACCAAAGTCTCTTGTCTAATTTACAAGGAAATATATGGCAGTCATAAGAAAGAATTTATCACTGGATTCTAGGGGATAAAGGGCTTAGGATGGCGAAGATTAACAGGGATCGGAAAAATTAGGAAATTCCATTAATCTGAACAACTTATCCTGACGCACCTTTTTCTTCCACTTCTGAAAGCCACCCTTGAGCCTTGAGAGCCTGCAGTGATCATCAGCCAGCATCTTCCTTTCCTCTTGGATCCTCTTTGTGACAGCGTACTCGTGCCAGATCCTCAGGTATTTGAGACGGCTTGTGTCAAGCTGTAGCAAGAGAAAGATGGACTTCATTCCTGCGGCTAAATTGATCGAATGGATTTGGGATTTTGGCAAAATGCTGCGGCGAGTTGAACGCATGCACCTTCTTCAAGGGCGACCACGGCACTTAAAAACGTTTAAGAACACTTCTCGACTGAGTGTCGTAAATCCAAAACCAAAGTTATCGCAACAGCCAATCAGAGGAACAGAGAAAGACTTTAAGAGCCAATAAAGCGCGGGAAAACGCGGGCGACCAAGTCGTGATCGGTGTTAACTTTGCATCTGATTGGTTAAGAGGGTAACGCGAGTTTTCAGAAGCAATCACAGAGCGAAGAGAAACAAACTAAAGTAATCTCGGATGACCATATTCGACCCGGATTACATTTGACTTATGACCCAGCTAAGGCTTCAACTTGAAGCGTTTGCCTGAAGCTAAGTGCAATAACCACTCGTGACCTCGTCTCTCACTTGGAAGAGGGAATTTTGTAAATATCTCTATTTTATGGCGTCCTTAGAGAATTTCACTCATACAAAAGCTGGTGTTTGCAACGAAATTATATAACCTTGTATAAAAGGCAATTTTTTCTCTTGTAATAACAACATACAAACAACAACAAAAACAACCTACCCAGTGTTGCCTTGCAGTGACTTTCGTATACAGCTCTCTTCTCCATTTTCCCAAAGTTTTCGACATCAGTTCTGTTGTCTTGTTGTTTGTGATGTAGTTCAAAAGCTCCTTTTGTAGTTTTCTTTGGCGGGTAAATTTTAGCCACGTTCTAAAAGTCAGACTCAGAGGCAGGTTCCTCCAGTGCAGTATAGTCTCTGTGGCCATCACCTCACGATCACGTGGTTCACTTTGTGTGCTACGCCCGGTGAAGGACGTACATGAAGCAGTGCTCATACCGTCATAGTCCTAAGGAAAGAAATATCACGATCAAAATTCTCTCCAGGGGGTTTTATTTACTTTCTTTGCCATTGATGAAGAGAAAACAATGTATGACCACACGTCGTAATTACTCTTAGGTCAAGATGGCTGGGTGTAAGTTTGAATTCGAACCCATTTTAGCTTTACATAATGCATTTAAGAGGAGACTGATTCCTAGACTAAATAAGGTAGAGGAGCAAGATTGAGGAGTCACCTGTACATGACACATTATACGAAACGCATAACACATCATACAACACAGAAAACACATCACACAAAACTTATCACACATCACACAAATCACACATGATACATCACATGCAAACTTTAGTTTGTGACCAAACCTCACAATTATTGTTCCCGATATCTAATTAGTATCTTCAAATGATGTAGATAAGTGAAAAAAAATTTCCAACTTGTATACGAGACCGGTCATACCACTAGGCGATAAAATGTGACCAATACAGAAATATGAACAACATGTCTCCCTTCTAAACATGCTTACCATGTCCCTCCCCACCCCACCCCACACCTGAACGCCACTTACCTCATGATCCGTCTCGCTGCTTCCAGAGTGAATGCCTGTATCGTCCTCAGACTTCACAGGAGAAAAGTCCTCCAGTCTAATGGGTGGAGTTGATGGGAGGGGATGCTCAGGACTGGGGGAAGGAGAGGGGGAGGGGACGGGACTGGTGTGACTTGAATTGAACGCCAAGGGGGACATGGGGCGAGAATCTCTCAGGATAGATATAGGGGAAATGGGTCGAACAATGGGACTCTCTGGCCTCAAAAGCTGGTCTATGCCATCGATTCTTCCTGGCAGTGAGGCCGTCTGAAAATAATTTAAAAAATATCATTGACCCCATGCCGTTTTAAGTTTTCAGGCCCACACGAAACCTCCGTGAATTCACTTTCAAATAAACGCTACTAAGCAGTAATTTCATGTGGAACTTCTTCTATTTTTTTAATTGTGCAGCACTAGGTTCTAGCTTTTCAGTCTGTGGATGAAAAAACCCTGGTGTGTGATCATATAATCAAGAGCTTCTGAGCAGTGCTTTTAAATGGTACTCTCTGTTATGCTGCAAAAAAAAAGGACTGTACAACCACTCAAATGAAGCCACCGAACAGGAAAAGATTTTTGTATAAACCCATATTATTCTAGGACAAAGCCTTAGTACTAAAGGCAGCCTATCGTTATTCCATTGTTTTCTTCATCCAAGAACTGTACGCATAATGAAGTATTGGACTGCGCAGAAATCTGACCCTGAGCAGTTATCTTATCTGGTATTAAAAAGCCATTCTAACGCATCAGACTGTGGAGCAAACCCTTAAGTGTGATCGTTTTGCTGAAGGCTACTGTGCTCGTCTCTCGTTTAGTATTGTTTATCACGCTAACGAATTTTAACTTTCCATTCTGTAAACAAAATCTTTGTAAGAACCATTCAGGTGAAAGCTTAAGAACCGCTATTCCATGAGGAATTGAAAACTATGCTGTTTAACAGTGATCCTAACTTCAAACGACGAAATCTAACTGAGTGATCACTCAAATATGAGCAGTATGCATCACTGTCAGTATCTGAACAACTGCACAACCACCCCTCCCCTAACCAACATTAAGTTGTTATCCGTTGACTATTATTGGGTTAGGGGAGGGGTGGGTGCACAGTTGTTGTTATACTTACATCATCGTCCCTCTCCTTGAGAGCTAACCCAAATGTAAACACGGTACCAGATCCCCTCCGAATGGAGGCGCCATACCCTGAGGAAGTAAGGGCGTCAGACACAGTGGAGCCAAGAGTCGAGCCTAAGGTTGAACCTAACGGCTGGCGAAAAGAAGGGGAGAACGATCCAAAGGAAGAATCCAAGCCGGACACTGAGGTAGCAAACTTTTGCATCTCCACTTGTAGGATCTCTTTAGTAATACGGTGCCATGCTTGAAACATACTCCGCAGAAAGGCGTCCTTCTTTGTAAGAGCGTGATCTCTGTTTAGAGAGTAGCAAAAATGGCCAAGTTAATCCTTTGTAACTTTTAAGCCAAAATAAAATTTCTTACAAAAGACCTTGCCAACGGAGGATTAAAATGCTCATTTGACAGATTCAGGTTTTAACTTATGGACTAAAATTGGACTCACCCAACATTTCGTCATCACACTTCCCCTCATAATATTTTTCTCACCTTGCCCATTCCTCCACACGGTAACGTCTCAGCCAAACTGCCCATGCTTTCCTCGTAACTGTGTTCCTGTATAGATCATCCGCAATTTCTTCTTGCCTCAAGCGATACGCTCTCTGACGGTCAGCGGATGCTCTCCAAAATCTAAAGGACCATTTGACCAATAGCAAACCTCGAGCCTGTAATTCACACAAAACGAAATTGAAGCTTCCTCCATTTTCTTGATAATTTTATACTTTGAGTCTCACGACAACATTTTTATTAAATCTTAAAAGCTTCGCGGGCTAGGAAAAAAACCCTACCTCCTTTCCAATCTCCTCGACCTTCTCCTCAGCTCTATGTTGAACTTTTTCTTTCCATAAAGAGTAGAACTTCTCCATTAGTTCAAATCGTCGCGCGCGTATTTTCAGCTTGGCGTATCGCTGATCTTTTATGTAACCTGTAAATTCACAATTTAAAGGGTACACATGTAAGTGACGCAAATAACGGATAAAATCCTTCAGTAAAATCTATAGGCTTTTTGCGTGACTCGTCGGTCGACCTCACCTCTCCAAGCAGCAAAAGCTCTTGACATTTTATTCCGAAGCAGCGTCTCGTTTACTTCTGTTTCTTTAACACGAAGATAAGCCCGATCTCTGTGGCAAAACGAGAAGAAGAAAATTCATACAAAAATTTAAAGAAACAACTAAAACAGAACAAAAAGTTAACCATAGCTAAAAACTCCGACAACTGCTGTTGGTGGATTATTCTGCTTCCGATTCGATTCTTAACCTCTACCACTCCCTTGATCTAAATATCAGTCGTGTTACATGAGAGCGCACTCGTTTTCGGCTGATCAGAAACGCGTAATTTTTTTCATGTGCATAATTAAAAAGGGACCTGGTTTTTAGAGGAGCGATTGAGTCTTAGGAGTGAATGGTTTCAAGGTGCTATATGAATTGCTTTTTCTGCGACTGTCACAGACAAAATTAGCTTATACGAGAAGGAAAGCTAATGTTGGTTCATGAGACAGAAATAAAACAAATAAAATAATTGGATATAAACCATTACCTCCAAAACAGGAAGTATTTGTCAAGTATCTTTTCTGTCGCTCTTGTCTTCTGATCAACAATATTTTTCAGGCGATGTACGTGAAGTCTCCAAGCATCAAAAACCCTGAAATCATATTTAACTAAACCGTTCACAACCTAACATCAGAATCCATATTCTCCCTACTCTTTCAATACATTCTCTTTGGTACTGACAAGGAGAAATTGTTTAACCATCAAAGTGTTTTTAAGTTGGCGATCATTTCCTTTATTCTCATGACGTAATGAATGATTCAGCAGTATTACTGTGAGGAGAAATTAGATGCTGGTCAATCTTAAGGTTTAAAGGATACTATGCTATTCATTTGACTTGTAAACGGAGCGAAGCAACGAACCCGAAAAGAAATTCAACGTGTTAAAATATACCAAGAGGATTGTTGAACTGTGAAGTGATAGTGGGTTCAAACGCCGGAGCCAAAAGTAGATGTAATATTCTTCCTGTAACTTCCACGCAAAATAATATTCCAGCGTAGAAGTTACTGAAGAAATGTTACAAATGCTTTTGGTATAAATCAACCAAATTCAGATTTTATGGTAGGTCATGTTTCCAATATGTAAAAACGATTGATCGACTTCTAAACATCAGAAATGAGAGATAAAAACATAAAATGATGGGAACTAAGGACACAATAAAAATACTCAAACAATAAACAAAAAATTAGATGTAGCCACTACGGTAGGTGGAATTCTTGATCAAAAGTTGTTAAAGCACATTTACAAAAAGCAAAGTCTGGGCAGGAAATTCATAGCAAATACTTATAGCCATGCGGTATTATTCATTCTTTGGAAATAATTTCCACAATTTGGGAGATTGATATTTTCAATTCCAAAGTTAAAATTAGCATCAAGAGGGTTTCAACTATCCACATTGCTTTCCCACAAGGCATTGGGTGGGGGGAGACTTAAAACCCGCTTCCCACCCCACACCCCCCGCTTTGATCTTGACTTGGCTTTCTCAAACTCAATGCTGTACCTGGCCATTTCTTTCCTCTCTCTCCGAGCTACCATGGGTGAAATGATTTGTTGTTCCTGATTAACAACTCTCCACGCCTGAAGGACACGAGCTTTGAAGTTCTTTGTCAAGATAGCTCTTGCTCTGAAGACCTTTTCATTCTCTGCATCAACTTTTCTCTTCTGCAGTTTCCAGGTCCTAAAAATTCCTAAAGACGGGATAGTTGAAATCAGGTACCCGAAGAAAAACAAAAAACAGAGAGACAAAGACGACAAACATAAAACACAACAAAACTCTAGTGGGCCACTCTCTAATTAATCTCCTCTCTTATAAGCCCCCTCTCGAAAAAGCCCCCGCTCTAAAAAAACCACCCTCTCTGCTAAGCCCTCTTCTGTACCAGGCCCTTCTCTCTTACCTCCTCCCTCCCACGTCCTTTCAATATTCTGTCTTTGTTTGAGAACGCTTTCCTAAACTTACTTTTCATCATCAATAGTTGCCAGATATCGCGATTCACCATCAGTCTTTGCTCCAAGTACTTCTTCTTTAAAAGAAGTTTCCAAGCTTCACATGCTTTCCTGTAGCAAAGAAGTTAAAGACATTTTGTTGAGACTTCGTTGATATTTTGTGGATGCAATTAAACCAGCACTACAGGGCCAAAGAGATCTTTATAAATCACGTAAGGGAAGTCCCATTTTAAAGTGGACAATATTTCCACGCGTTTTTCTTATTTTCAATGAACTAAAAAAGAACTTCATGAAACATCAGATCTACTTGAGGCCCTTCGAAAGAGAAACTTCACCACTCCCGGGTCAGTTTTTGCCCAACTTCAGACAAACCCTACCTGAAGTCCATGAACTGCAACGAAATAGTGCAGATTACTTTCCCGCAGTCTCTGTGATTTGTTTACAAATTCTATATATATTATTAACCAACCAGGAACAAAAATTAAACCATGCGCGTCTTGGTCGAGAGTTTTTACGCGTTTTCCTGCGCTTTGAGCTCTGAAGCCTGCATACTGTCAGTTTTCATTAATTCTCAACATTTTCCTTCTCTCTGAAACATTTTATGTCCTCAAACCTTTAATTTGCGAAGAACTACCAAGTAGTTGCCACTTACTTTGTACACCGCTTGGACCAATTAACTCTCGCTTTCTTTCTGAAGTTAGCCACCTTCATGGCAAACAACCAGCGATCCATCATTTTTCGCGAAGCGATGTGATTCTTCTTCTGGATCAACTGAATTTCTTTGCTCCTGCATGTAAAGACAAAACACGTGTCAAAGCTTTGAGAATTCTAAGCCGCCGTGAGTCCTTTGCAAACTCTTATTCTATCGCGCAACTCAAAAGAAATCAGTTTTCAGTATTTGCAAATGGTTCTAAATTACAGCTGTAATTTAACGCTACCAGTGGATCATGCACCGAGATTTTGCAAGAAAAGAGTTTTGCCAAAGAAAAGCGATCAGGCCTCTCGACTCAGGCTCTTGCACGCCAACAGTTAGGCCATTTCACTACATGTAACAACAACTCAAGAGTCACCCAGGATCTACCTACTCACCTGAGAGCTTTGTTCTCTTTCACGTGTTGTTTCCAGTTATTTAACATGCTGCTGACAAGCATCCGTTCTAAGGAACCAACAAAGGCTCTTCTCCTCTCCCTTTGCTGTTTGGTAAAATTTGACCATCTGTTGAAGAACCTGCGCTTTTTCCCCTGAAAGAAGAGCCACAAGGTTTCAATTGTTGTGTAACCACAATGATTTCACCTTGATGAGAAGACTCTCACTCTCTCTCTCTCTCGATCATTTCATTCGCAAGTAGCAAACACGCGGTCTTTGAAAAAGTTTACACTCGTCATGAGATGGTAAAAACATCCGTGCAGAATATTGAATATAGAAAAAAACATTTCAGCCTTCGAAAATTTGAAAGAGAGTAGTTCGTGCAGATGTGCAAAAACTGGAGCTCCCAGTTCATAGCCATATATATAAACACCACCAAATGTCCAAATGGGAAAAAATTTAAATAGAATGACTCGTCTACGGCAAGTTTGTTCTGTACCACAACTTATACCGATTTCCTCCGGAGAAATTCTTAAAAGCGTGTCGAGCACAATGCGAAATGGCATTCGTTTTTCTTTACTCTGTTCTGTCTTAAAATAACTCGCACGCGGCAACCTCCTAAACCAATCAGATTCATAACTAAAACCAACTGCGACTACATGTGGATCACTCGCGTTTTCTTACGCTTCAGGCGGTTTGGTTGTTTTCACTGGCTTTGTTCGAATTGGTTCCCTATGTTTTTTCCTTCGTCCCGAATGACCATTTTTATCAAATTAGTATTTATTTTACGACACCAGAGTTATCAGCAGTGTTACATTAAATTCATAATTCAGGCTAGTTCTGAATCTTAACCCTGTAAATGACACTTCAAAAAAAAAAAAAAATTCAAAACGAATCCTTAGAACAATACGTCTTCCCAAATCACCTCTCTTCATACCTTTTTGGCCAAGGCCTTGCACAGATGTCGATGAATAACCTTCCTCCTGTACCGCAAAAACCACAACTTGAATATCTTCCTGAAGATGAAGAAAAAAAATTTGAAAGCATTAGACTGCATCACGGACGGTAAGAATCATTTCATCGTTCTTAAACTGAATCAGCCTTCTCCGCCTCTGAAAGTTTCAAATCAAGAGTGAAACTTTCAACTAAGCGTCGGAAGTAATTCTGCATTGCACTGATTAAACTTTATTTTGCTATTTAATTGTTAAAAAAAAAACCCCACGCTACCCTTTCGACCAATGAAGGTCCAAACTAAACCCAGTCACTCGTGTTTCCCGCGCTTGAAGCAGTTTGTTTGTCGTTACGCTGAATTCTCATTGGCTACTTGTGATATTTGCCGTTGTTCTGTTTGGCTGTAGCGATTACTTTACTTTTGGTTTTATGCCATGCAGTCATAGGTTGAGCACAAACAAAAAGCCCATCGTTCTCTAGTCTCGGTTTACCTCTGAAGTCCGTTTCTGTAACGCCTATCCGCCTGCCGGTTCATTAGCCGGATTTTCCAGTGATGAAAAGATTGCTTGACCAACTTGTGACGATGATATTCCTTGCACATGCTCTGGAACCTCAGCCGAATAATCCTGTGAGGACACAGAATAACGACAAAATCAATACCAGACCTGCAGATTTTTAGTTAATGAATTTTTTCTAGGCAATTTATACAGTTGTAACTTTGCACGGTTTTAAGAGAATAACTACATGCAGATCGTGCAATTTCTGGAGTGAAAAGTACAGGCGCCTAAAAGGTTTTTTAAACTTCAGCTTTTTCGATCGTTAACAACTATTAACACAATTTGTAATCAAGCGTCGAGAGGATTTCATTAGTTTTGCTTTTTTATACTCTTTGATTGGTCCAGAAAACTGACGTTGGCCTCTCGACCACTCAATGAAATGCAGAGCTACAACCAATTGCGTCATGGCCACTCTTGTTTTCCCGCGCTTACGAATTCTACGTATAATTGGCTCCTTGTAATGCTCATCTTTGTTCTGATCGGTCACTGTAATTGCTTAAGCTATGGTTTTGCCGAACACAAGCGAAAAGCGCTAAAAGATTGTCCATACAGTTGGCTTTGCACCTACTCTTCAATTGCTCTACTCTTCAATCGCCCTTCAATCGCTCTAATACGAAGATGTTGCCGGTTTTTTTCGGCTGCGCATTTTTACGGAGTTTGTTTAACTTACTTGGCATACTGAGTCCAGTTCTTCCAACAATAGAAAGCTTTTACAAGTACGCGTTTCCTAGAAAAATGAAAAAAATATAATATAATTTACACAAATGATACTGATGAAACAAACAAAGCAGAAAAGAAAAAGTACCAAACAAGCTAAAAAAGGTTGAAATGTACTTCTCAATCAATTTGGGAAAAACAAAGACGAAAAACATTGCCAAACCCCATTCTATCTTTACCACTGCTCTGTTCCACAAAAAAATTCCTTTCACAGAGATCACTTTTTTAAAATGAGTGTCAAACGAAATCCGGAATAACCCGTGTTTTGTTTTACTTCGCTCTGTCATTGGTCCAGAAGACTCGCGCCAATCTCTCAACCAATCAGATGCAAAACTAAAACCAATCACGACTTGGTCGCCCGCGTTTTCCCGCGCTTTGGGCGATTTGGCTGTCTTTACTTTGACCTCATTGGCTATTAAAGGTATTTTTAACCTTTCTTCTGATTTGCCCTTGTGATTACTTTGGTTTTGGCTCTGAGACACTCAGTGGAAAGGCGTTCTAATCTCATAACTGCAAGAGTAAAATGATTCTACACGCAACTTACGATTTCAAACTATCTGCGACAACTGCTTTGCCCGTGTTTTCCTTCCAAAGGGTAAATAATCTGGCCTGTAAATGTTCTTCATAGTGTACTCTGAGAAGTGAACACACAAGAACCAAGTTCGTTACATTATAAAGTATCGCACATAAAATAACAATTGTTCAGTGTACAATAAGAGAACAGTAAGGAGAACTTGCACTCTGATGTTAGGGTGTAAACGAGGTTTCTGTGACTATTAAGGCGTAACCGTATAATAAATCCCTTCTTTTTGGCAAAGTCCGTTGCGCGAGTTAAAAATAGGTCAACGAAGAAAACAAATTGACACTGGCGCGCCGCGCGGAACCCTGTGAGTGAGGCGCATTACTCCCGGAGTTCCGCGCAGTGCGATAACTTTTTTTCGCGGATGTTACCTTCCTTATTTTTTATTTGCGCGACGGCCCTCGCCGAAAAGGAGTGACTGTTTGTCGTCTAGTAAGGCATCTGACCCCGAAATAGAAATGCCCCGGAAGGTTTTAGATTTTAATTGTATCAGATTCGCTCAGACCTTTTCTTTTCTTTGTTCTTCTCTGGTAAAAAATATTTACCGTCTCTTTCTATTCCATTAATCTGCGCTTTTCCATCACTAATATAAGTTTTAAGTCTACTTTGAAAATTGATAGTTCTCAAATCCTTGTTAGGCCATCCTTTAAAAACTATGCTTTCGTTTTCTTTTAGTTCACCTGGCAACTTCTTTCAATCTTGTTTTAACCACTCTCTGTGAAGCGTACAATCTCCAGCTGTGCCAGCTCCTTGTCAGTAAACCGATTCTGGTCAGAAAAAACAGTCCTTGAAAGTTAATCCTGATGTGTTTGAACTTGTGAGAACTGTGAGCATTTGAAAATGTGCTTAAACGAGATCCCGAAAACGACGAAAATGTAGTTTGAATTTCCCAGTTAATACGAAGTAAATCTTCTTCAGCTAATTCCATTTCCCGGTGTAAATATTGATTTGCTTGAGTAATGACCAGAATTAAACAAATTATTGTTCAAATTACAAAAGTAGTGAATTTCGCCAGAAGGTTCAGCAAGCCACAAGCGCGTTCACTCGAAACATTTTGGATCATCGCATTGAACATGCGAATGTTAAATTTAAGACTTCTTTTTCGTCTTTTTCAATTCAGAATGCTTGAAGTAGTATAGAACACAAATCAGATCTTTGTTCTTGTTCAAAAGGAACCGTGCCTCGTGTGTTAATTACGTGTTATGAATTTTTTCACAGCCCCAACAAATACGATTATCATTATATTGCTAAATTCGTTGATAACACCTGTTGCATATCAAACATGCTCATAAACTAAGAATCTCTGATCATAATTCGCCAATTTTGATAAATTAGGCACTTTTAGGAAACACAGTTAAAAACTGAAGGCATTTTGGTGGTCTAGATTTCTTTGTTCTTAACTTTCTTACTCATAAATTTCAAAACGTATACATTAAAATAATGTACGCAAGACAAAATTGCCAAAAGTACTGTGCAGTTGGACAGGACACTAAATCGTTGAAATCCATCTGGAAATTTTTAATTCATATGATAAGCTGATTTATACATGCATTCTGATTAGTTCTTACTTACAATATATCGGAGGACAGAGGAAGCATGCAAGCATAGATGACGACATACAAAACAAATAGATTAATATTTCTGTGGTTTTGAGCGGTAATAGAATCACAGTGGACGTCAAAATGTGGTCAGAATGAAGTGACACACCTTGCTGCGCTTCATGTGCCACTTTTTTTTCTTACCAAAATTTGACGTCAACTGTGTTCAATTACTAAACAGACGCATTGTAACATGGAATCTATTTATTAATTAGCTAATAAGTACAGAATTTTTGTACAATAAACAGCGGAAACTTGAACCATACTTGTAGTGTAAGGAAGCAACTCCATTCTTCTGCTCCATATCACACTTTATCTTCCATTTAATATAATTTCTCGATAATATGTGCCTGTCAGCCATCTGTTCCATCATTGCGCCCCTTGATTATAAGAGAAAAAAAAAAGCTTTTAATTTGAAAACTTTCATGGAGCTGCAGATTCTTTTTAGTGGTTCAGGATGTTGTTTGTATCCTTTGCTCACTGCTCGGAAAAATACTACGTAACTCGCAAGAAACCTGCGCGTATTATACGTTAACCTATCAAATAAGGTGTATATAAACCACTAGACTTTATTACTTGTCATGTAGAGAAAAGATTGTTACCTGTTTTGATCCATTTTGAACAAGTGCCACTTGTCAAACGCTTCTCGCAGTCTATCAGTCACTTTCGTTTGCACAGCCTTTTGCCACTAAATGAAGATTTAAAGAAAAAGTTATGCAAATGAAGATCCCGGCTCTTGACATAAATCTACTGTATGCTCCTTTCAACTCCATCTACCCTTTGTCAACACATTACAGGCTTTAAAATACGCGATAATATTTTACGTGTTCACAGTGAGAAAAATTTGCACAATTTCTAACTTAAAAATCTCCAGAATTACTGTGAAGATTTGAAACTTAAAAATCATAATAATCTTGTTGAGCTCACTCTTTTCACCGAGTTACCTTAATTTAAACAATCATCCAACAATTTACTTAAAATACATAGAAAATATATCTTCCATCTACTAACTTATGATAATTTTGTGCTTAGAGCGATTTTCAATTGTGTCGAAATTAGTCCGAGATAGCATAGGATTTGCCTCACTTCTCTCTGTGATTGGTTCAGAAAACTGGCGCCACTCTCTCATCCAATCAGATTCAAATCTTTAAAAACCAATCGCGACTTGGTCACCCGCGTTTTCCCGCGCTTCGGGCAGTTTGCTTGTGTTTACTTTGACTTCTTATTGGCTCTTAAAGTTTCCTTTGTTCTGATTGGTTTTTGTAATTTCTTGGATTTGCCTTGAAAGGCGGTCTCCTACAAGTACATTGTAACTTTTCCACACCTTTAGCCAGTATTTGGCCGTAATCCTGGCTCTAGCCCTCGTCTGGACCTCCGATACGGACTGTTTATGCTGACTCACAGCAAATCGCAGGGCACTCAATCCTTTCTGTAGCATGAGCTTTCTTCGCAGTTTGTCTGCTTTTTCCAGCTGAACAGTCCTGGCATTTCTCCATGCTTCAAAATACTTATGTTGCGTCTCTGTTTGCCAGAACGTGACTGCACTGTTAAAAGAATGGTGCAAAAAATTACCAAACGCAATCTATACTCCCTTCAATGTTTTGACCTACATTTTGAAGCTGTATGCATTCATGTAGTTGTGCTTGTACAACGTAGACGTTAATCCTGTTTAGCAAACTTCCCCTGACCATTACTTGAATTAATGGGTTTGAAGAAACCCTGATCACCTATAGTGTGTCACAAAGAGCTAGCCAAGGCTCAGACCAAATTTATGTTCTACATGCACGATAAACAATACTTGCAGGTGGTACCCTGTTATATTTACCCCCATGGCCGACATATTACCTTGCAGGGGCTGTCAACCTCTCAGGCACCTTACTCATCTACTGTTAATGAGTTTAACAATTTATCAAATACCTTTGTAATTTGACGTCATCCTCTTGTTTGATCAGCCTTTTCAGCCTTGTCTTCTGGTACCAGCGTCGAAAAAGGCGACCCTTCAAATTACATGCCAATAGTAAACATAATATCTAACAGATTATGCTCGATGGAAACTGTTTAATTTGATACATTACGCTTGGGTAAAAAATTTACAATATATAATGTTAGCTACCTTGAGCAGCAGCTCCTGATAAGAATTTGGACTGGACGTTCGAGAGGCCCAGAGAGCAGAGGAAATTCTCTGTGATTTATCCACTGAAAATGAGTTTCTCAAGCTAGAAAATAATTAAAAGGCACATTAAAGAAACATACTTTTACAAACCTGAAAATACATGTATTAGGCAAGGTTACATTGTAATTTCATGTCATTTACGAGAATTTGCTTCCAGTGAAATAAAATTAGCTTGCAAGTAGGCCTCGTCATTGGAGCTGCAAGAAACGTGATTCTCCGCCCGAGGAAAGATTTGAGACGAGTCGGGGAGAGGTTTGCGGAGGGTCTGGCACTAATTATGAGGTGCAAACCTCTCACTGGCTTACGTTACTCAAGGCTTCATACTTTCCCGCGGGCGAAGAACGCTCGTGACAAAGGGCGCTCGTAGACTGAACTGTAAAACAAACATTTCTCCTTCTTGAGCACGGGTTTTCAGTAAGAATCAGAGTAGAAGGAAAAAGTTTGGGGGTAGTTAGAGAATGGAGACAAAGTGATGAAAATACAAAGAGCTTTCAAACTCAAAACTCATCCATGTACTACCTGAGATCCTGTGGGAGATTTCCTCTTTTATCCAAGTAATCGTCAAGTGAGTGTTCTCTTTTACTGCTTTTCTCAAAGTGAGGAGTGAACCTATAAGGCGGTGAATTATCTGGACTTGACTTCACACTTCCGCTGCTTAACAACTCCTCAATTGTGAGACTGTCGTCTCCGCTACGTCCACTCGACATCAGGCTTGGCCTTGAGCTCAGATCCACTTTACTGTTTGTTTGCTGTAAGAATGATTTCCCTGCTGATCTGAGTGAAGATCTAGACAAAACTTTATTTCCACTGAATCCCAAACTGACATTTGATTGTCTGGACGGTGAGGCTAAATTCCTGGAGAGATTTGATTCAAACAAGTTGTGTTCACCATACAGAGACAAAAGCCGAACTGAGTGTGAACTCCGTTGTGAATTGCAGTGATCTGAACTTTGGTTCGTACATGTATCTCTGGTGGGAGGGGAGGGTGGGAGAGCCACATCATAGGGGTCACCATAACTGCTATTTCCCTCACTCAGACCGTTCCTTTCTGCCACCGTAGTCTCTAGTCTTGGTTTCTGATCAAAGCTTCTCTTCACTGCATTTTTTTGTACTCCAGATTCAACGAAGTTTTGGCCAAGGCGTCCACTCAACACCACGTTGCTCTGTACGGTGTGCTCTTGCTGTACAGGGAAGCCATTCTGAGCATGTCCTTCCTTGGGTCTGCTGTTTATCAACTGCTCATTTCCATCTTCTTTACCAGAAGAATACGATTTGCTTAGTTTATCAGTGCCCTTAACAGAATTTGCGAATGAAACCGATTTAGGAGAATGCTCTTTCTTGAATGTACTTCCTGGAACAACCTTCTGCTTTTCCCTCCTAATCAGGGCATCCCTTGATCGTTGCATAAATTTATTTGCAAGTATTTCCTGAGAACTGGAACCTCCTGAATAGCTTCCATTCGATGGGTAACTCCTCTTAAGTCTTTCCAAATAGCTGGCATTTTCACTTTTATCAACGCCACCATGACCATTTCGCCCTGTTTTGTGCACAGAAACCTCGGATGGAACAACAAGAATGTCTGGGTGGCCTTTCATTGAAGCTTTACTCGACAAACTTGAAGAATTGGGGTTAGTAACATGTGCATCCTGGCCTCTATTCTGTTGAAGCCCTTCAAATCTAGTCTCTCTTCTGTGTTTACTATTAAGCATCAAGTCAGAATGTCTGTAAAATAAACTTCCATCAAATGCTTTGGTTGAGGTGATCACATCCTGAACACCACTTGTGGTACTGATTCCACTTGCTGTACTCTCTGAAGTTTGATTACCGTTCTGAGGCGCAGTCTCTTGTGACAGTAGTTGATTTACTGAGTCTTCCATTGCCAAGCTGAATGGATTGCCAACCTCAGTGTCTAGCAATGTGTGCACTCGATGAGCTGAAGAAGTGCAAACAAAAAGAAGGCATTGTAACACGTAGCAGAGCAAGTCTTCACCGAACCCAAGAGGGTCAGCCACCAGTGACAGACACTATTCCTGTCTCTGTACCATCAAGCTACCAAGAGTATTGCTACATTGGCCCCTGCATTTTGTCAGGCTTCCAAGAAAGATCACTGCTTAGCATTTTATCATCCAACTGCGCTAAGTAGGGTATAAAAAACGCGCGAATCGAGTACAAATATCCTGCGTTATTTTGTACTGTAAAAATAAACTGTTTCACCGGTCGGCTGCGGGTTTTGCTTCTCTATCTGCTTCGCTTTACCCACTTTTTAAGAAATGCTCATGAAATAAAGTAATTGGATAATAAATAACTTAGTACATGTTTTGGTGTGTAGCATCGCTGACTATTAAGTTTTTACTCAGTGTATTTTGACGTGCCCTATGGACTCGTCAAAATACGGCACAACTCGTAAAAATACTCAGTGATACTACGCACCAAAGCGTCTAAAAATATAAACATATTCCAGGTAAAGAGAGAATTATGATAGTAGAGTGTCTTGCCCACAAGCACGACACAATGACACTGGTTTTCTCACTGGACTGAATCAAACTGTCGAAGCTCAAGAACTGGTTGGGATCACTTTGTTGTCTTCTTGAGCAAGACACTTACAGGTCTGTTATTAAAAAAATGTAATAGAAGTATGAGCTGAAATGAATAATGCTTCAGTAGCCATCAAGGCTAGTTGCAAAGCAAATGTCCTTCTAGGAGGGAAGGGTCTAAGGGGCATGCTCCTCCATAAAATTTTTAAATTTGAAACTCATTGAGTTAGATGATTTTCAGCATTCTTGGACATCTGAGTTGCACTGAGTAACAGCTTACTTGACTCTTCAAACAACCAGGGCCAAGAAAAGCTGCGGCAGTTAAAGTGGCTACCTACGCAAGGCTGATAGCACTTAATGTGCCTCTGTTAACTATTGTGCATGATTTAACAATTTTATAGCAATGTACCTTTTGCAGTAGCATGGTAAGGAGGTCTGGACACCATGTGAGAAGGTATCATGTGTTCTGAAGGATGAACTGACCTATGGAAAGAGTCCTGAAAAGCAACACCACAAACTGTAACAATAGTATTAGAGTACTGTATTTTAAACAAGAAATTGGAATGAAATGAGAGCAAAACAACACAAGCAACACATGACTGTACAAACCTCACTAACCTTTAAAGTATCTGGCAAATCATAAAAAGAGAAATCAGACCATTCTTCATCTGAGCTCTCTTTGCTGGATTGATATGGGCACTTCTCATCAGTTATTGGAAGATCCTGTATTGAGGCTTTGTGGCAATGCTCATGAGGGAAATCATGAGCTGCTGTCGAAATGAGATAGGTGATTATTTTGTATAATAAGCTCAATGATGCTCCCATTTTGATTGGTTCTTACAAGTATGATCTATTGATGGACAGATGCATAGGTGACATCATCATTGACAATATTTTTGCTTCCTTATTGTATAAAACAAAAAGATTATATGTTGCTGTGGTTTTGTATGGTCTGTGATAGATCACAGAAGATATCAAAATGTGTTGAGAGCATCAGTGACCACTTTTTTGTTCTTGCCACATTTTGACATCACCTGTAATCTGAACAGACATGTCATGTCAAAGAGTCTATCTGTAAAATAGAGCAAAATGTCACCTGCCGGAAACATCTATAGAGCAGTTATCATTATAACAGCAGCAACATATAACAATTTAGAAGAAGAGCAATCTGCCATTATGATAATATTTGAAAATAGTGCACCTATGCACTCAGAAACTAAACTGAGTTGGCTCACAGGCCATTGGCTGGTTTATATGCCTGTATGTTGGAAAACTCCCAGATGATTGGCTGACTGTCCCAGATTTTGTTAATACTTATTTATCAGGAGGTCCCTAGACATTGTAACCGGTTTTTTCCAATATTGACTTTAACTTTTGACTCAAGGATTAACTGGAGCTAAAATCATATCCGATGTCCCTGACAGTGAAACTTGATGTTTCTATATACAAGTATGGTGAATGATTGCTGATCATCACAGAACTCTAGGTTCCTCAGGAAAATAGAGACATTCCAGATTTCCCTGTTGAGTTTTCATTAGTAGGAAAAATCTGAGATGGTCAGGAAACAGTAAAATCCTCAATTTTCCTCTATGAAAACCAGCCTGAAAAGTCAGTGCATACATGCCCACAATGTACATGTGCAAGATGCCAGGTTTTGTTTGAGAGTTGCACTTTGATGATTTTGCTGTGCAAGTTTCAACATTTTTGAAGTGTTTTTTTCTGTCTTTGTAGGTGTCTGTTGTAAATGTTCACAAAATGCAAAATACATCCATCATGAATTGCATTCATACCTCTCTTTCTAAGGAAATCCAGTTTAGTGTCTTTAGAGCCATTCTGCAGGAAAAAAAAACATCTTAAATAACTTAATGAAGCAATGAGATTATGATTGTTTTAACCCTTTAACTCCCATGAGTGACCAAGACAGAATTTCTCTTTACAGTATTATTATACAATATCAACCAGATAAGTGATGAGAACAAAGAAAAATATCAATTTGGGGATAATTAGTTGATCTAATACTAAATTCTCTGAACTAACATTATAAGAATTGTATGGTTGATAACAAGGAGAATTAAGAATTTTTTCTGGGAGTTAAAGGGTTGAGAGATCATATTTTCCTCAATAAACAGAGAGGTAGAGACTATATCATTACACATAAGAAGGTTGAAACACAACATCTACCACTTTTGTACATCACAGAAAATATTTCAAGTTCTTAGTTACATGAATCAACTGAAGTAAACTACAGCTGTATGTAAATTTTAGAGTAGCCCAGAATCATTAAAGATTTCATGTCTTTATTTACTTACTGTAATACACTTTTATGCTAGCATTCAAAAGCATGCAACCAACAGACTGATACTAGAGTTTTACTCCAAAATACAGGAACAAACAAACACATACATCATCCATTCACATTCAACCACAGGCTGTTTTAAAGGACATCAAAAACACAAAAACACTATCGACATTTGCGTCATGGTTGTAACATCTACAAATATCACGTCATGCATAAAAACACTATCGACATTTGCGTCATGGTTGTAACATCTACAATTATCACGTCATGCATAAGAAAAGAGTACAAACCAGACAGTGTTGACAACTTGTTGCCCAGGATACAAATACACATATCAAACAAGATAACTGCTAAGTTAATTTAAGCTGATACTAGATATGCGAGATTTTTCTGGAAATAAATCTGCCTTTGGAAATTTGTTTTACAGGATCAACATCTGTAAATGTTTTTCTAAATTGGTGAATCAAAGTTGTTGTTGATAACTTAATACAGTGTTATGCTCAAAGAAAACTTTACTTGAAAAATATGCAATGCATGTCAAAATATAACTCAAGGCCAAATTAATATTTCTATGTTTCTCATAACCTGTAGTAAATTCAGTGAAACAAATTTTTTGAATCTCCTTTCGAGCTTATAGGAATAAAAAATTCATTTGGTTTTGAGCTATTGGAAGGTAACAAAAATCCCTTGGTTCACATGTATCTTGAGAAGGAAACCAGATTTGATCTGCATTATAAGAAGATTTGACAAACCAAGTGTATGCAAAATTACAAATCTACTGTATTAATCAGTGCTTTTTAAAGTTCACTAGTAATACCTGTGATCCTTAAAATCAAAAATACATTAACACACGTGAATGCAAGTGGATACTACTCTACACAAAACAGCTGAGTTCAACACCTTTGCTTCTCTTATAAAAATTGCCATAGATCTTACTGTACTGCATTCTGAACATATAAGTGTACAAAGTCATGTAGATTATTCAATCTTAGCAGAGTACAATAATAAGTTAAGCTTCATAATGAAACTGCTTCATGATCAGGAAATTTAAGCTACAAAGTCTTGCCACAATATGGTTCAATAAGTTTCAGTAACACAAATCAGCACGAAGGTTAAGCAGTACATTTGAACATGAAACAAGCTGACAATTTGTAATGTTTTCATAGATTGAGAGGGCTCCAGAAATAACCCTTAAGTTAAACAGATATACCATGAAATCTTAGAGATGATTTTGAACAACTTCCTAGCCTAACAAGCCACACTAAATGTATACAAATTGCCAAACAATAATTGATTTCAGCTGTTCTATTACTGTACAGAGAACAAAGAAACAAACTCACCAAATACTACCATTTTAAAATTAGAAGACCAGGTCACTTTTTTCTCATGTATAGATATCAATTGCTATTTAAATTATGCAGTGATGGTAAGACTGGTCAAGATAAATGTTATGTTCTCGATTATTTAAGTCAGAGTGGAAGCCATTGATTACAGTGTTCTAAAACTCATTTGCAACCCAAATTATCAAAGACAAAAAAACCTGATATTGACTCTCCATTAAAAGTTGTGACAGCTTGATGAAAACTTGTCATATATGAAATAAGACAGAACAGAACACTGTCACGTTTTGTTTCTGCAGTAGGGGTACATTAAGATTTAACTAGACAATGTTCATTTGTAGGCCTTGAAGAAATTTAGAAATCCTGATAACACATTTTCCTGCGACAAAGTTAAATGAACTGTGAAATAACTGCTATTCAGATAAATTTATCAATTAAGTAGATGCATTGTGAAACTCTTAGCTGTTGATACATGGGTTTTGTATAAATTAGCACTGTTTGTACTACAAAATTCCTGAATCACCAATCAATACAGTATAATGTTTGCTTGGTTACAGCTCACAAAAAAAATCTACTCAAACTATTTGATGAGATAAAGCAGAAGTTTACTGCAATACTCATTGTGGATTGGACGATCTAATTTCAAAGATGCTAGAGAACCAAACTCAAACAAAAAACAACAAAAAATTAAAATTGTCCAGCACTATCAGGTCAAAGTGCTGTGTGCAAACTTTTTTTTTCTAATTTACTTCTTATATTTGATGTCTGATGATGTCAAAGGATAAATCTCTCTACAAATATATGCAGTAATTTCCTTCTGATGAAGACTGATAGAATTTTGGGTAGAGAAAATCAAAGAGCAATTACATACAATGTAATCTGCCAATGTTAATTAAAATATTTCTTCCAGTGATCCACCAAAATAACAACCTTAATGATTTTTTTTAATTAGGAAATCCTGAACATGTACTGTATACAAATGAAATACACTAGTAATATCACAAATTAGCATACTTTTCCTGAGAATTGTAAAATAACTTCCTGCTAATCCTGTATATATGGAGAAGTAAAAAATGTTATAATCCTAAAAAATTTAACGAGATAATTTAAATTTACGAAATTAAAACAGGAGGGTGATAGATTTAATAAAACTGTTTCATTTCTGTTTCTATAAATATGTTTTTTATGAGTGTTTAAAGTTTAAATGCTCTTTATTCACGATAAAGAGAATGTCAAATGCGGATTCTTCTTCGAAAACATTACAATAAAATTACCTTAAAAACTTGATTTTTTTAAAATAACTTTGAACGAATTAACATTGTAAAAATATTTCATTCGAATCCAAATCAATCAAGCTGAAACAACTTCATACACCAACTACAAACTGCTTTTCACGATAAAATTTACTTCAAAATAATTAAATATGCGGGGCGATATGTTATAATTACGATTTGGGTGACTGAAGTTTTTTTTTTCATTCGTGCGCCAGCTGGCGGTCAAAATCATGTTAAATGAACTTCTAACAGCGCTCGAGAAAGCTCAATTAAGAAGGAAGTAAACAAAAATTACCTTCATCGAACGATGAATACTAATTACAGCCATGGAAGCTGGAAAATATCGATGAACGTAACTTTTGACTACATTTAATCCATGATGCGAGTGATCTATCACTGATCATTTGACTTTCAACTGAAGTTTGTAACCAATTCGAATCCGTGGAAACACCTCTTGATGGAAAAAAATTATAAATGATTCATGTCATTAAATTGCATTTAGCGCGACAATTTCAAGACTCATTTTTTAAGAACACCAAATTGATTTGGTGCTCTTAACAGAAGAGCGCTGCTACAGCGCTCTTCCTTGCCAAGCAGCTGGTAGAAAAATCATGATCTTACCTTCGATTCGAGTCCTTTCTCTCGTCTTCGATTAGCGATAGAGTTGTTGTCCATTGAAAAGTAAAGCACTGGCTACGTCAAATATACCACCATCGTGTCCTGTCCTACGCACAAGGAGTAGAAGAAACAACTTCGTGATGACGCATTCTAAAGATCTAACTTTCGATACTCTCCCCTATCTGTCTTCGCTTTGCGAAAATTCTAAACCCTGGATAAGAGCTTGAAATCAAAAGGGCGCAAATTGCAATTCACTCCGCCATTCACGCCAAATGACTTCTTTCCACGAGGATCACAAAAGCCTGAAAAGGTTGTTATTTCAGACACAATGCACTCAGCACAGCGTGAAACATGGCGTCCCTTTGTTGGAAAAACAAACGAATGGTGCTGAATTCGAAATAGACAATGGCGGGAAATTGTTGCTATGGTTTCGAACAAAGAATTTCCTGATGCGGAACAGTCTTCACAAAGCCATCAAGATATAAGCAGCTTTTTGCATTTCCTTAAACAGCTTTGCATTAAAAATCTTTGCATATTTTGTATGAGGTGTAAATGTTTTCCATGTTATTAATAAATGATTAGACATTCCAAATGTTTTCGCCATTTAGTCAGCACGGGCGAACTGGTATAGGACAGAACTGGTTATTAGTTGAATAAATCAAATACTAGGCCTTTCTTAAGATATACTGGATTCTTAGGTTTTGTTGTTGTTGTTGTTTTTTTAATCGATCAAAAATAAGGCTGTCTCGAGGAAAAAACGCCGTAAAAGGTTTTTTTCGTTCCTTCTTTGCTGATATCTGATGTAAAATTTTGTTTCATAAGAAAATGAATTGTCGTGGACTCGTGGGTGTTTTCGAAAGAGAGAAAGAAAATAGCATTAGCGTGGATTTGAAAAACCAGGTTATGGCAAATCATCGCATGTCTGTATTGACGCCTTAAATACTCAGCAGAACTGTAAGGAAATAGACAGGAGTTACAACCGAAATACTTCAAAAGTATCTTGCTCTGAAACCCTAAACTGAGTGGCATGAATTGATGACACATCGAAGCTTGTAATGTCGCTTCCAAGCGCTTAAACGCCCTTTTACATAATTATAAAGAATTTGGCCCAAAAGAGACAATAAATAAATAAATAAAAAACTTCAGACAGCAGGTATCTCATACAAATGAGGACAGCGCCAAATCTTGGCACTGGGGCTGTCATCATTAGATACCGTCTGTATAAGGCAATTGTTTTTTTTATAGCATGTCATAGTTGTCACGTTATCATTGTGGTGTCAAAAAACTGTAGACACAGAGACGCATGCGCTCTCGATAGTTAAAAACTCGAGCGAGGGAAGGCCGATGTCAAACAAAATGGCCGTAAAAGCACTAATTTGATAAAAAAAAACTTTTTCACGAGGCTAAATTCTAAACTTTTCCCCGTACCGAAAAAAAAAAACACGAATTAAAATTCGGAGCCCAAGAGCACTTGAAATTTTCGTATAAATTTACATTTCTCATAATTCAGCTTTTCTCTGATTTGGTTTATATTTTTTGAAGTATGAACAAGCAAATTAAAGTGGCCATCTTTTGTATGTGATTCAGGAAAAATAGAGGAAATCAAATCCCTAAATTTTATACAACTTGTCATTATTTGTATCGGGGAGGGGGGAAGGATTTTGTTTGTGTCACGATAAATATTTGCCCAATCCCCCGATTAGGCTGCCCCCCCCCCCAAATTGGTCTCCTGATCTCGTATCAGATCCTACCGTTTTGAATGTAACTTATTATGTAGGATCTAACAATCGCTTAGCTGTGAAAGTCTGGGTACGAGACTAATTATACTAATTAGACTTTATACTCTTTTGGCGGCGACTGGTCCCCTCTCCGTTCTCCCTGTTGACCAATTGATTTCCCCCCCCCCCCCCCCCCCCTCCATCCTTCACCTCCCCGCCAGAATTTGCAGTTGTTCAGATTAGAATTAACGAACCAAAAAACCAGGTTTTTTCTACATCTGTAAGTAATTATTGAATACAGGCTGAGCTAAATTGCTTACTTTTAAGAAGACATTTATTAAACATACAAAATAAAATGACTAATTGTATATATATGTCACTGCCATTAGGTGTTTGGTACGTAAATATACAAAAAAGTACATATGTGTTAAGTAACTTTGTTAGGAACCTTTGAAAAATGTATTTAATATTCTTGGAGTACGTAATACAGCTAGTTAACACTTCTACGATCTGGGTAACACCACTTAATGCCGATATAATATAGTGAGTATACAATGCGCACTTGACTAAATGAACACTGGGGGAGTTGGTCAAATTTTACAGTACAGTAAGGAGATGGATTGAGTTTCTATGAATTGGCGTATTTCTGGAAATTGCTATTACCGAGATTTTTTTTTTTTCACTTTTCCACTTTTTCTTTCATAAATTTCAAGTTTTAGTAAGAGTCACAAGAACCCCAGTATCTCTAAAATCAATAAACGTGAATCAAGGCGAGTCATTGATAAAAAAATTTACAGAATACAGAAAAGCAAACGCAACTCTAAAATTCAGATCATTCACTAAATGTGAAGTACTACTTTGCCTCATAGAGGGCTGAATACATTCGTGTTGAAAAATTCTACTTTTGCTCATTAAAAGATTTTCTTTTTCCATCCAACGCAGGAAGGAATCATAAATATTTCAGGTAGTGTGTTTCAAGAAAAGGAGTTTCCGTTAAAATTAATCATAGTTGGTTTCATTTGACAGAGTACTTTTAAAAATTGTTCTTATTTTTATAATCTTATCCGTAATCAAAGCAATTGAAAAGAGTTTTTTGAACAGGGAAAATTAAATTCTAATTGAGTTCATTCTGCGATGTTTACAATCTATCCTTGGCACATATTTCAAAGGGGCCGGGCATTAAGACCACGCCAACCTCGCCGCTCAGATCTGGAAGAGGTCTACCAGCTGGATTTTCGAATTTAAATTGATGCAGGAGCCTGGACGCCACTAAGAACATTTCGGTTTTCGCCAGTGATTCACCCAGGCAACCGCGTCTTCCGGCGCTAAATGGTAAGTAGCTGCGTACTCCAGCGGCGGAGAATTTTCGTTCTGAGCCAAGAAGCTTTCCGTCTTTGTCCAAGAACCTAGACGGGTCGAACACTTCGGGATTCTGCCATTCATTTTTGTCGTGGTGCATAGCCCATATGTTTGATATAAGCATTGTGTCTTTTGGTACATCGTAGCCACCCAGTGTCGTATCACACGTCGCCTTGTGAGGCAGTGACAGTGGAACTATAGCTCTGATGCGGAGAACCTCTGCAATGGTGGATTCCAAATATGGAAGATTCCCACGGTCGTTCAAACACGGCATGCGGCCACTGCCGATGACGTCATCTAACTCCGCATGCACGCGGGCTTGGATATCTGGGTAGGTAACCAAGAAAGCGAGCAGCCATCGTAGTGTTGTAGCCGATGTCTCCAGACCGGCATTGAAGACATCGTTCATTGTCATAACGAGATGATCTTCAGTCAGCAATTGTGCGACTTTTCCGTCTTCTTCTTGCGCCTCGTGGTAGGCCTTCAGTAGAGCATCAGTCAAATCTTCGATTTCAAAGTTGTTGTTTGCGCTGTCCTCTTCAAACCTCTTTTTGTGTTCTTGATATTTTGCTCCGAGGATGTCATCTCTGATTTGGCGCGACTCGCGCAGGGTTTTCATGTCTTGCAGAGGGAAAAATCTTAGCCACGGAAGCAGGTCTAAGATATTATAGCTACCAAATAGTCTGATAAAGTCATCATTGTACTGAATTATCCGCAGGAATTCTTCGTCTTCAATATCGTAGCTTTCGCCGTAGACAACAGCACATATCACGTTGAGAATGGTCAGCTGAATTTCTTTTTTTGGATCAAATGGTTTCCCCTGTTGGGAAGTGATGCGTTTGGCCATGTGATCAACCTCACTGCTTATAAGACACTCGAGATGCTTCAAGCCACTTCCGTACATGCGCAGTGCTGAGTGAGCAATCTTTCGCAGAAGGATCATTGATTGCGTGAAGTCGGCGCAGATGATATTTCTGCCTCCTCGGGACAAGTAGTCTCCAACAAAGGTCACGGGTCGCCCTGAAAATTCATCTCTCCTAGCGAGCAGCGCTTCACGGGCCAGATCTATTGAGTTGATAACGACACACCGCTGACCGCCGGGCAGGTAGAGCGTATAGATCTTACCATACTCCTCAGCTAGCTCAGTCATGGCCAAGTGACCTGGTTTTCCTGCTAAACGGGGCATGTTGCCAATCAGGGGATACGGCCTGGGGCCAGGAGCCAGCTTCTTGGATTTCTGCGCATGGGCGCGGTGGACAAAGAAAGCGATCGTTGTCACACAAACGAAAACAAATGCGATTTCTAGAATCATCTTTCAGATTTCTGCAACAGAAGATTACAAATCGATTATTGTCAATCACACTTGTTGCTTCTTAAAAATTACTAGGTAGCTTTTAACCTGTCCAGAAAATATTTAACAAAACTTATGATATCCGCTGGGAGCAAATTTATCAGAGTTATAGGCTTCTTCGGCAGATTTTCATTCATTAAACCGCTGGAAATTGGAAAGCTCAAAAAGGCGGGAATGTTAAGAGCGAAAGAGAGTCGGTATTTGGCGGCCGTATTTCTATGCAACCCCAGTCCCTCGCGCTTCACTCTCTATTTCCTGCGCATTTTTGTTGTGAAACTAAAATTATCCTTCGTTGCTCCAATGAACTGTGTAATTGTATGCATTCAATACTCGTCGCGATAATCTGTTATGATCTAACGAGAGCTTAAAATGTTTACAGCTATTAAGGTCAGAGGTGTACCATTATGAGCTAAATATGAATTCCAAACTCGAATAATGTGAATTTTTTCCGTATTGGCACGCGACCTCCGTAGAGGAGTGTTATTATTGAGTTATATTTAGTAACCTCGATTAGTTATCAAAACGGCGCCTCATCCAGTCGACCTTCGAGATACTGTTTCAGAAACTGTTTATCTTTCAACATGGAAGATATCTGCTAAATATATTGACAGTGAAAACACCGTATTTGATATAACATGAATTCCTAACCTTTTTGGAGTTTATTTATAAGCCAATGCAATTCGCGGTTAGATTACATTTTAAGGCCACTTAACCGATTATAGAACGTCAAGAAAAATTGCAACTGTCTGGAGGATGCACTAAGTATTTCTCGAGTACCACGACATTTTAATTGCCTCGTTACATTGATCTTTGGAAAATGGCAAAACAAACAAAACATCCTGGCCTTTACAAACTGGGTCATCATGAAAATCATGTCGAAACAATTGTATCCACATTCCCGAAACAATACCAACGGACGATTTTGACGGCACACAATCCACTTAAGTTGCTATTGTTTCTTTTCTTGTCTTTCTTGGTCTTCGGACCCACTTCATTCGATTTTTATCTTTTAAGAGATCATTTTAAGGGGCTATTTATAAAGGTAAAAGCGCGTTCAAAACAAAAACACGCTGAAGAGTTCGCCGGTCATTCTGTCACGCACTGATCACGTTCTACCTGCACCACGTGGCCTCTCACCAGCCAATGGCAGACAGTATGGTGTCTATGGACGTATGGCACGATAACGGAGGAATCCGTTCGCTGATTTTTATTCCCGACCCCTGATCTGTATCGATAATAAAATCACGTGCATAGCCACGCGCTCTCGGATCAAACTACAGAGTTCACATCATCACGCCGGTATTACGTAACGTATTTCAGCTGTTACTTAACGGTACTAATCGGGTTTAGTTTGACCAAACCTAAAATTGTTCGTTTCGGTAAATCACGTTTTCCACAGCGTTGTGCTAAACAACACAAACAATTTCATTGGTGGTTAGACGATCGACATCGATGGATTATGTCCAGTAGGTTCAAGATGCTTGATGAAAAAGGAAAAAAAAAAGTATGAAATTTAGTTTGTTTTCAAGTACAGTCTCAATCTATCACTTTGAGCCAAACACATCAATTCAAATTTAAAAAAAAATAAAAAGGAAAAGAATATTGGAGGAGAATTAAGGCGAATCAACAACTAAAATTAAGCCAGGACACTAAATAAACTCTGCGCGGACTGCGCAGAGTTTAAGATGCCTTTGCTTTCATCTAGCAGTATGATGATAAGGTTTGTACGATATAGTTTGAATCTTTCTATTTCGGAAAAGATTTCGCCGCCAAAACATGTGTTAGAATATCGACGGAGCAACATACAGCAAGATCTTAGAGATATTACAAAGCTGAAGTTTCAAGCTATATTACGAGCGCTAAAAAGTTTTTCAACTTTAACGATTTTCCGAGAATCGCATATCATTTTAAAACTCTTATTAAATGCAATTTTCTAGTTACTCTTTCTTTTACGTCAGATTGTGTACAATAGCTGTACTTCCCTGTTTGAGAAAGCTAAGAACGAAACGAAGATATTGAATCTACGCAATTAACTATATTTTAAACATAACACGCTTGGGAAAAGCGCAAAATTAAAGAAATGAACGCAAAATTGAACAAAATGAACGCAATGCTGTCTATATTTCTTAATCTACTATTCGCAATTTGGAAGCTAGGTTTTTTAAGTATGTAAATAGGGAAATGTAATCATTACATTGTGTAAACACATTGATCGAGAATTTTCGAACGGTTCTTAGCCTTGGGAGCCGACAAAATACACGGAACGTTGAGGACATGCACATGGAATTTGTAACGAATGGCTCAGATTTTTGAAAAAATAATTACAGTATTTGAAAATAAAATGCTAAGTTTAGTTCAATTGATCCGCTACCCAAGGTAAGAGGGGCGTTTACAAAGCGAAACTGAACTATATAGGTACTACAACAAAAAAAAAACCCGCCGAAGTAAAGTTATGTTTGATTGCTCTTTTCACACGTTGGAAGTTACTTCTAATCCTTTCAAAAAGAATCAAAATTATTTTAGATAAAAGATGTAAATCCGCAAAATTCTTTGGCATACGAAGTTAAGTTTGATCAGGCGATAACTAAATTACCTGAACTCAGCCGGGTTAGGTCACAGAATTCGTCAGGACTTTTTATACGGTCACGCTAAAAGTTTGCGATAAGGTTGTCCAGCAAAGATGATGTTTGCATAAAATTTTAGCGAGCATACCTTATTTGTTTATAGAAATCGCTGTGGCTTTTCTTCTCGTTTGCTGGATGGAATCGTTACTCACTGTTCGTTCTCGTAGTGAGTGTCTGACCACAGAACAGACAAGAAAGTATCTCCTTATATAGACGCTGTCTACGTGACAACGTATACGTTCCTAGAATGTTTACACGCGTATAATTATGGCTGTCTCGGCTGAGGATAAAATTAGAAACTCCGATCTCCGCGTAGCGTGAAATCTCATTTTATCAAAAGAATGGCGACGTTTGATTAATTATGTCATTTAAATTTTAAACGCCCACCTGCAGGCGGATTCGAGAGTCTCTGGCAAAATCACGCTGCTGTAGCAATGCTGTAACAAAATGCGTTTCAACTCGCAAAGTAAGCAGATTGCAAAATGAAAGCATTTTTGAAAGCTCCACGTGTTGAAATCACTTGAAATCTAATCATAACATACACGGTGATGTTTGGCAACGAGTCACGTTTTTTGTTCCACTTGAAAAATCAACGAAGGTACATCAGCATATTCTCTAGACAGCCCTGATTTATTTTAGTTTTTGTCTAAATATGTTTGTTTGATACCATGGCAATAAGTCGAGCTCTCGAAAAGCTAATATTTGCTCATATTCCCTGTATTACGTGTTAATTTGGAGAGGAGGTTTCAAAGCCGTTGCATTAAGTTGCAAAGTGAATATTTCGATGCACGAACGCGTTCTTGCGCACGAGACATTTTGTCATAGGTGGCTGGGCCGGTTGCGGTTTATAAGAGACGTCTAATTTGTTTTGAAGTTTAGAGTACACACCCATTAATCACTGTTTTTCTTGGATATCTGTGAACACATATTTAGTGTCTAGAATAGAAGCGAGACTGGCAAAACGCATGAGCGCAACATCCCGGGACCAAGATAGATAACCCTGCGAGATCCGTAAGGAGAGCGAAGGTCAAGTCACGCGAAGCTTGTTGTTTTCCTTCTTTTCCGCAATCCACGTGTTGGGAGGTCGGGATCACGTTTGATTCTCCCATTGCTCTACATGCATGACTGTGTAGTAGAACGTAAACAAATTACAAGCGTTGCTCAGCTCACGTAGATCAAAGAAAAGCTGTTTGCTGAGCGTTGACAAAGAAACCTCGCGTGTCTTTGTCCTAAAGGGGCATCTGTAAGCCATGCTGAGACTTTAAGCACAGCTGTCTTTATTACTGAGGCATTGGAATTTCGCTTGAAAATAGTACATTTCTTTCTTTTATATGTTATCTTTAAGTGTGAAATAACACAATACATACCGCCTTTCTACAAGCTACATACTTTTAGACCACGATAAGTTTTAAATATTTGCATACATAGCTTTCACACGCTCACATAACGTGCTTCATAATACGGTAAGCAAAATGTAAGAAAAAGCGATTAAATTATACTTAGCGCAAGTCGAACAAAACCTTATGACCTTTGTAGCGCATAGAACTATCCACTAACCAAATGCTGGCGTTAAAAATAGCGTGGATTTCTAGCCATTAGACATGCAATCTCAAGGTGATTACAATGGAGAGACTACTTGACTGGAATATCTTTGATGGACTGATATTGTTACAAGTTAATCAGTCTGGGTAGAACCAAAGCACGTACAGTTTATTCGAGTCATTATCTGTCCAGGGTAAGCCAAAATTATGAGGTAAACCCCATGTCCGTAACAAGGAAAACACGTCCCACAAAGCGGTTACATGAGGACGCCTAACTTTTCCTTGTTTTACTGGCATCCAAGCCTACGCACTGAATCTTAAATTACCAGCAGAGTGGTTTTCATGGAAACTTAGCCGATCCTAGAAATAACAAACTTCATGGGCTCTTAAAGTAGAGTGTTATACAATGTCTTCGTTCTAAAGTGTTTTCAATTTAAGGGCAAAACTACTTAGTTATGCCAGTGGAATACGACCACCTTTTCCAAGTTTAGATATTGTGCGCTTAAAATGACGGCAAAGTCAGGTGTTGGGTGAAAATTCCCGGAAAAATGGCATTTGAGAAAGGGGAAAGGGTTTTTTTTGTTTATGCTTAGTACCTATTTTAGTTTGTCAAGTCGTAACAAACAGTTTTGATGAGTTCAAAGTTGAGCGCGTGCTAAAATGTCCGAATTGCGCCAAAACATACAAACGTTGGCAACAGTGTTTTCTCTCTCGTCCGTTGTTTTCTCTTAATTAATCAACTTTTAAACCATAATAAAACCCAGTTTATAGCGTATCAAGGACTTTGAGAGAGCCATTGAAATACAG